TTGTATACCTACAATGTACCAATAAAAGAATTTAGTAAAAAAAATAATAAAAAAGATCTATGGTGTTTTAGGAGTCGTGTGGTATGACACAAACTCAGTGAGAAGCAGGCTGAGCATTTAATAAGTGTGTGGAAGTGCTGTGGATCAATTGATCCTCCTCAGGAAAGTAGATGAACTGAGATCCCTGCTTCGCATTGTGACTCCAGATGGATCATATACTCCCTATCAGTGCCCTGCCACAGGAAACACTGATGCATGTTACTTTGTGGAAATTACAACTTCTATCTGGCAGAAGCTGCATGAGCCGAGAGAGGACCAGCAGCAGGCTGGCAAGGTTTCCATGTCTATCACAGATAAGGATCTCTAGAATTGCAAGGAAGACCCTGGGATTCAGAGAGAAAAGTGCAGAGAACCAAATAGAAATAGGCTGTGTGTGAATTCATAAAAATAAAAGGGAAAATGAAAATTCCAATGAATGTGCTAAAAGATGTTCACACTCACTGTAATTGAGGGCATGCAAGTTGAGAGAATCAGTGTCTTCCCCAGCCCTAGAGCTCAGTAAGATCACAAGAGTGGACTGCTCGGCACTCCCTGCTGCCTGCATTAAGGCACCAATCTGGCAGTCGGGCAGTCAGGCAGTGGCCTAGGGCAGTGGCTGCTTCTGGTGCTTTACAGTGACCTCTTTCTTCCAATGCTGGTGGGGTGGTCTCCCTTCGGCATCTCACTGCATCATGCCTTGTAACATGAAAAATAGGAGATGGGCTATACACTTTTTCTTCCTTTTTTTCTCAAGCTAATGGATCGAGCTGGAAAACACCTAGTCCACAGTTAATCAGTCACCACTCTCTCCATCCCTCTGGCCCAATAGCACTCCAGCACCCTGACCCTAGCTCCAGGTGTGCATGGTGCCTGAGCTGCAGCCTCTGACTCTCACTGGTGCTCACTGACTCACTAGCACAGACAGCAATGCACATTTGTACCAAGCAGGAAGTGCAAGAGCGAGAGTGATACATTGGAGCTTTCTGGTAGCCATTAAAAGCTTCTGAGTTTCTGATTGAGACATTCTCATTGACTTCTGTCTGCCTGGCTAATAATAGAGTTTATTTTTTAAAACAGCAGTCTGCCTCTTGGGCCTTTTATAGCAAACAATGTGAATGAGGCCAGAGCTGGCCAGTGAAATTTGGAAACCTGACAGTCTAATTTCTTCTGCCTTTGCATAGACAGGCACGTTTCTGTACCACTGATGTCTTGTTAGCAAACTGTATGTTGCAAGTGGTTCCATCTGGCTTTCAGATTTTAAAAAATGAGCATTTACTTTGCTTCAAGAGCAAGGGAGTTTGTTGATTGTATAGCTGCCGTTGTCAGGTAAGTGGAAGATTTGAGCACTATGTCTGTAAAGGAAACCGCTTTACATCAGTGCTATCAAATGTTTGCTTGTGTAATGTTTTTCAGTGGAAAAATCTTCATGAAATGGTTTATGATTGATTTAGAATACGTGGAAAACTCTTCCAGCAGGGCAGCGCCTAGCTAATGCATATATATCTTATAGGCAGTTTGTTGCTTTATAACTTGGAAATGTTCAAGTGGGATGACGTGTAAACATTCCAAGGTTGAGCTCATGTCTCAGTGGGAGAAAGACTCAGGCTGAGAGTGGTAGAAGGTGATGCACATGCAGGACTTACTCCTGCCTGTTGGCATGGACAGACGTCTCACCTGTTTCTTTCTGGTTCTTCTTAAAGCTGTTTCTCAGGCATTTCTGTCCTAGTGTCTGTTTCTTTGTCAGTGCTGCTGCTTTCCTCTGAACTTGGTTTTAGTGTTGTCGTGGCCTACATGCTGGGGATAGAATCAAGCACTGTTTGGTGACCACGTGCAGTCAGTGGCCTCCATGTTAGGTTTTAGGGGTACCAAGAAGTGATCACTGGGGATTCCCTTCAGCAAAGTTGAAAGTGGGTCACAAGGAGCATGGAGGACAAATGTGGCTGGCCCAAGCGTGGGGCTGTTGACATCTGGTCACTTAGTGACCTCTAACTCCTTTTCTCCTTCCAGAATCATCGATCAGCGATTTGAGAAAGTTTCCTACTTTGTCTTTGGTGATTTCAACTTCCGCCTGGATTCCAAGTCCGTTGTAGAGGTAGGGATGCAGCTTCCTCCTCACAGCCTGGTACTGTGCTTTCTTTTATTATTTAGTATTGAAAAAATAGTGAAAATAATGGTGTTCTTTACAGGCAACTTCCATGACATCATTTTTACTGATCACATTTTTAAGGCAAAAATTCCCAATAAAAAATATGTTTACTGTCAGAAGAAGAGTCTTTATTGGAATTAGAGACAGATTAGAGTCCCTCAGAGCTAGTTGATCAGCTGGTCTCTAGCTGCTAGACCTGAGGGCAGGCAGTTATGTCCTTTAAGCTCTGGGGTTCCATCTCAGAAAACAGCTTAGAAACAGCAGAAGGCTGCTGCTTAAACACACTGAAAAGCTGGGCTTATCAAGCTCCTGACTATATTTCAATTGATTTTCCTCATTACACACAAAGGAACTATAGAAGCCTGCTTTTAAATACTTGGGAGGCCGAGGCAGGAGGATTGTCATGAGTTTGAGGCCAGCCCAAACTACATAGCAAGACCCTGTCTCCAAAAAAAAAAAAGCCTTCTTTTAATTTTGTATTTATATATCTGAAAACTTGTTTCATGTGGTTTAAGAAATCATTTCTGGCTCTTGATTTTGGGGAATTTGGAGGCCTTGCCCACTCCTGGGGTTGCTGGGGCCCATGGCGTAAAGCTGGCAAACCTTGGCCCAGGAGCTAACAGTATAACTGTTGAGGTCAGAAGGAAGCTATAACTGCAATGTGTCCTGGGGAAAGTGGGTCTCCTGGCATGAGCACAAGGGCCACCTTTTCTCTGTGGTGAGGTCTGTGACAGGTGCATACTAGCCTTTTTTTCGTCTTCTCCTGGGTGTTCTCTCCCAGTTCCATGTGACTGTGGGACATAGCACCTTCTCAGGCAGCAGCAAAGTGTAGGTGCAGACAAGTGAAGTGCCCACTGCCTTGCACCCACATCTGCATGGTGAGGTATGTGTAACAGGCCTGGCAGATCCTCTAGCCCTCTGCCGGTGGCCCTTTAAAGTGGTTGGCACAGTGCATGGCATGCACTAAGCAATTCACACAAGGGCCACAGTGAGAACCACATGAAGACACATGGTACCTGGAGTAATTATCTTCCCATTAGTAGTCTCAGTTCCAAATACTGTCACATTAATCTTCCATCCTCAGTAGAAAATTATTAAAGACAGAGTTGAGCAGCCTTTTGTTTGTCCTGTATCTCCCTTTGGCTGACAGAAATGAGTAATGTGCTGTTGAAATCCTTTTTCTTTTTTGTCTAATTAAACTGACAGCATCTTACTTGGCAAGGCCTCACAGCATACATGTGTGTAAATGTTTGGTTGTGTGGGTTGTTTCCTTGGACATTCAGTGGCTCCTAGTAGGGATGCAGCTTTACCCAACTGTGGAGGAGGAAGGAGGGCTATGGACTACATACAGCTTTTAAGACAGACAGGTTTCCTCTGTCCATTCTGCTGGTTTATCATCTCTGCTTCAAGGTTATGGAGCTTCTCAGTCTGGTGTTGGGATCCTTGAACAGAGTAGGAGCTGGGTCTATTCTCTGGAAATCTGTTGTTATGTCTGATGCTGTTGAGGACACAGCAGGATTCAGGGGATCTTACCAAAAGGTCTTTCCATTCAAACTAAGCTACCTGGAGCTGAAAAGCCACATTTCCAAAACCTTAAATCTCTTGCTTCTAAACCTCTGAGCTCAGTCTCTGGCTTGTTGCTTGAGAGCAGCACCTCTGCTGCACACAGAATGGCTTCCACACCCACCCAGAAGCCTCCACTGAGCTAAGTGTCCTGCAGAAAGGTAAAGGACCCTTGAAAAACTAAAGCCAGTCAACTCATGATTAGGAAAAGGTCAGAGGAAATTCAAGAGTGGCCTTTTCTTCCCAGATAGAATAAATATCACAAAAGGGCAGCCACTCCTCAGTTGGTCAGGACTGGTACCAGGTGAGCATTCCAAATCTTCCCTTCTCTCCCCTCCTCTCGCCTCCCCTTTCTGTGGGAGAATAGCTTGTCTGTGACAGGATGCTAAGTGAGGAGGGGTGGTTATGTCCCTGGGGATCCCTAGGTACAGGAGTGCTTGGGTCACTGTGCAGGGGTAGGGGTGACTCATCTGAAAAACTATGGAACTTTTTCTGTTAAATGGAAATTCAAGAAAATGTCTACTTTGAGTTTGCACATAGGTGTGACCAGGCTCATGCACTTAAGAGGGTCCATGTTTGAAGGAGCCTGGGGACCAATGTAATGCATTAGTTGAAAATGCTGCATTTTTTGTGAGATACCACCTTGGCCCTGATCTTTCCTCTCTAAGATGGTCCTGTTTCCCAGGGAGAGGGGATCCTGGCTCACAGGTCCTAATGGTGGGGCGGTTCCAGATCTGGTCCAGATGGACCCCATGTCCTGGGCGAGCTGAAGAGAAAAGGTGGACACAGCCTCAGGATGCCAATTTTTGCTGGTTTTCAGGTCTGGGACCTACCCTAGTGTCACCCAGGGCAGAAAGCCAGGAACCACTCTGTCCTCCCCATCCTTGGGGACAGGTTGTGGTAAAAGAACCTCTTCTTACATCTTCAACCTAGCTTGGAAAGGGGGCAAAGATGGAGAGGGGGCATACATGGCGAGGGAACCATGATGGGCTGAAGAGACAGTCACATGTGGGTGTTCTTTGCTGATGGAATAGACGTTTCCAATGCAGTCCTCACGTCTTTAGAAGTCAGTCTACAAAGGGGTCCACGAGTCTTGGTGGTCTGTGTTCCAGGGGCTATTTCTCTGCACATCAGTGATAGACTTTCCCAGCAAGTGGTATGCTCTTCTGAAAGTCCCACAGAACTTTTAGAACTTCTTAGCTGTGACTTGCTGCCAAGTCACTAGGCCAGTTTCAGTATCTCATTGCTGTCTCCTCCAAGAACACAGGTACCTTCCTACCTCATGATTTTTCCATCAGAGTTCCTTGAAACAAATCAGGAATTATTTGAAATGCGGATTTTTCAGTATAAAAATTTCCCAGCTTCTCCTGGTGGTGCACACCTATAATCCCAGCGCTTGGCAGGCTGAGGCAGAAGGATTGCCATGAGTTCAAGGCCTTCCTGGGTTACATAGTGAGTTCAAGGCCAGCCTGAACTACATAGTGAGATCCTGTTTTGAAAAGAAATTTAGGAGCTGAGTACATAATACATCTATTTGTCTGTGTAATATGCATGGGACTACTTAAGAGCATGCTGTTTATATACAAAGTATAAAAATTTCCCGGATAGCTGGTTTTTAGATAAGGTACAAGAGCACATGTTTGTTTATATACTGTGGTTGTCTTCCTGGCCTGTCTGCTGGGTCAGGCCCTATAGGTAGTCAGGGTCCTTAGAACCCATAGAAACCAGTGTGGGGCAGGATCCACTTCCTGGGCTCCCAGAAGAGCTATTGGATTTGACAGCAGCCATTGAGTCAGAACTGTCCAGGACAGTAACCAGTAGGTCACCTCATGAAGGGTAAGACTGAGCAGTCTGCAGTCCTAACCATTTGTCACTAGCCAACAGGTTGGCTCCTGTCTGCCCAGTATCTCCCCAGGTCTGCTACAGCCCTCTGATACCACAGCAGGTCACTTTGTGGAGAAAGGGTTTCCTGGGTGTGGAGAGAGGTGGCTTCTGAGGACATATTCTTTCAGATACTGAAGTAAAGCTTGTACTTCACTTGTAACATTATAGAAGATGATGAGGTAAGAGAAGGATATGGTGGCCATTTCCAGAACCTCTGAATTTCGCTGCACCCTCAGGGCAGGATTTCCCTGCAGAACCTCATGGTCAAACTCAAGCTGGCATCACCACAGTCCCAGTTCACCAAGGCGTTGTCCACATCCTGCCAATGGCATGTGCCTCTCTTCATCTGCCCCAGCACGGGGGCACTGACCAATGCAGCTGGACCACACATCCCATAGCTGCAGAACAGGTGGGTGTGAGCACCTTGGGTAGTAGAGGAGCTAGATTTCAAACCTTACTTTAGTTCAAATTTTACAGAGCTACATGGCTTAGGGGTTGTCTGCAAGAAAGATCTACATGATTTTTAGCACAAATGCATGTTCCTGTTGGAGAAAATACTCTGCATGGACTGCTATCCTGGTTGCCTGGAATTCACCTTCCTCACCATGTTTTTATTCATCTTGGAGCCACAGCTCTGAGGCGGGGTCTCCAACTAGATGCCTAGTTGCCCTTCTTAGCACCCCAGACATGGTACCATTTCACATGAGACGTGAGACAGTGCTGTGTGGTCTGCTGTGCAGATTACCATGGAAGGGATGAGCTCAAGTTTCTCCAGGTGAGAGGACAGAACTCAGAAAGGCAGGAAAGGTTCCCCTGGGATGACCACAGCACCACCACTACTACCACCACCCCCACTACCATGTCAGGTGCAGTCAAGGTGCCTGCCAGCAGATGTTAAACAAAATAGAATGAAAAGGTCCTATAGGTCGCACAGGCTGTTCTTGTGGAGTAAGGGGACAGCACTGTTGTGGGGTGCTTTCCTCACTTGCACTCATCCTTGTGTGACACAGAAGGAAAGTTGAGTGTACTCTGATCATACTGTCATTGCCTGAGGCTGTGGTGAGCAGAATGTCTCTTCTTAGACACCAGGATGGGATAGCATGTCTTAAGTAGCAATAACACCTCTGAGGAAAGCCCCCTTCCCAGGTGCAGGTAGTGCTCCCCAGATGGGTCTTATAGGCAATTGGTTACTTGGCACCTGCCTGCAGGCTGCCTCCTGACAACAGCTGTTCTTGAAGTTGTTGGATTCAGATTTATGGCCCCTCACACATGATAAACCCAAGACTCTTTGTCCTGATATTAACCTGGCACTTGCAAAACAGTGGGAGGAAAATCAGTAGTTTTTAAGTGGATTATTTGCTTAATAAATGAACAAACAGATGTGTCTTAGATCCATGCACTAATTGAAGAGTTTTTGTGGCTCTTTTAAAACTTATGGATAGGTTGTTGTTCCTTTCCTAAATAAAAATGACCTTTAATCATGTTTTGCACATAATATA